GAGCCAACGCCCGCGGCCCAACGGCCCAGGCTTGGTCAAACAAGTCGTCCAGGAGCGCAGACGCTTGGCAAACATAATGGGGGTGGGAGTGGGCCGCCGGGCAAGGTGGCATGACGTACGCGCGTGTGTGTGTGTGTGTGTGTGTGTGTGTGTGTGTGTGTGTGTGTGTGTGTGTGTGTGTGTGTGTTTGTGTGTGTGTGTGTTTGTGTGTGTGTGTGTGTCCGTGTATGTGTGTGTCTGTGTCGTTGTCCACCCGCGCAGGGGCCCCTCTCCCTCCGCGCGCCACCGCGGCGCCCGTGCTGCTCCCTGCAGCCGCCTCGCGTTCGGGTTCCTGGGCCCAGTCTCGCCGCCAGTTCCCTGCTCCCCCACGTTTGCCCTGCGTGCACCGCCTCGGCGCCGAATTGCTGCCTGCAGCCGCCACGCTGGGGTGCCAGGTTTGGGCTTGCCGCCCGCCGCCCACCGCCGGCCCAACATCTTGCTGGACCCCCCCCCTCGGCAATACCTGCTCGCCGCCCCCATCCGCGCCCCCACCCGGGGAACGCGCAGCCACCGCCTGGTGCTTCAGGCCCCTGGCTGCATCGCACACTTGACTTAGGTTCGTGAATTGCAACTACAGGCGGTCCGCGACCACTTCGGGCCAAAAAACCCAAACCAAAACAAAAACAAAAATCTTGAAACCAACACCTGGGGAGGTCGACGTCCGGAAAAAACTCAAACACCGCGAAGAACTCAAACCCACAAAAACATAGAAAACACCTGAAGCTCAAACCTGGGGAAACAAAACTCAAACCAAACAACAACTCCAGAAAATCTCTAAGCCGACACCTGGGACAAACTATGGGAAAACTCTGGAACAACTCTGGAACAAAAACTCTAAAATCAAGTTAAAAAAACTCTACAAACTTTGAAAAAAAAAAAAACAAAAAAAAAAAAAAAAAAAAAAAAAAAAAAAAAAAATCTGAACGACTGAAAACTCTAGAGAAACTCTAGGAACAACTCAAAACGACTAAACGCTTGACAACTCTAAGAAAACACGCTATACAAACTCTAGCAAACTCTGTAAACAAACTCTGGAACAACTCTACAAGCACTCTAACAACAACATTCCGGGTTTGAGTTTTTACGGGTTTGAGCTTCAGGCTTTTTCTGAGTTGTTTGTGGGTTTGATTGTTCCCCAGGTTTCTGCTTCAAGATGTTATGTAGTCTCTTCTGTGTTTGAATTTTCCCCAGGTTTTGTGTTTGAGATTTTCTCAGGTTGTCTTGGATGTTGAGTTTCCCATTCAAGATTCTTCAACATGTTTTGGGACTTTGAGTTTCCGGCCGAAGATGTTTTGAAGATTCCGGCAGGTTTTCCTGTGGACCGCCTGTAGTCCAGTCGCGAACCTAACACTTGACTTGCCGGACTCGTTCTGGTGCCCACACTGGGCCCCGCCCCGCTGGAACCCCGGCGCAGCAGCCGCCGCAGTCCCCGCCGGCGGGGCAAGCCGCGCCACCCGCTTCGGGCGTGACCCGTCCCCCTGAGCGGCCCTCGCCCCGTCTTCCCCTCCCTCCGGCCGCCCGCCCTCCGCTCTCCCCCCCCCTCCTGCATGGCGGCTCCATTCGCTACAACGGTGCCCCCGTTTCAGCTCCTCCGCCAGCGCAGTTGCTCCGCCCAGCCGCCGACGCAAAAAAGTGCGCCACGACGGAACAGCTGGGGGAGCGCCCAGCGAGGAGACCCAACACCATCCTGAGGTGAGGGATGCTGAATAGACGAAGGCAATGTCTCATGCGGGAAGCTGGCGCCTTCTTTCTACACCCTGCGACATGCTTATGAAATCCGCCGACCCCTTGGGGATCATCGGCGTGTGAGATGCTTCCCCCTCCCCAAACCCCTCCCCCGGGAGCCCGGTCCGGTCGATTTGGAGGGGGGGGGGGGTCCGGCACGAGCGCAGCACGGCCGGGACGAGCGGTTCACGGGGCTTTTCCGGGCCCAAGAGGGCCTCAAGACGGGCCAAGAAGCCCCCAAGAGGCCTCCAAGACGGCCCACGAAGGCCCCGAGACGCCAAACGACCGCTCCAAGACGCCCAATATGGCCCCAAGACGGGCCAAGAGGTCTCCAAGACGGCCCCCGAGGTCCCAAACAAGCCTCCCAAGAGGGCCCCAAGAGTCTAAAATTGTTGATTTTCCATAGTGTTTTTCGATGTTTTTTGCTTTTCCGCCTTTTCGGCTTCCCGACGCTCCAAGACGGCCAAAGAGGCCCCAAAGACAGCCCCAAGATGGCCCAAGAGGCCCCCAAGACGGCCTCCAGACGGCCCAAGACGGCCCCAACACGGCCCAAGAGGTCCCCAAGACGGCCCAAGAGGGCTCCAAGACGGCACCAAGAGGGGCCCAAGAGGGCGACCAAACATGTTGAAACTCTAGCTTTCTGCCCCCAGGAGCCCCAGGGGGCCCCAAGAGTGCCCCAAGAGGCCCCCAGAGGCCCTCACGAGGCCGCCCAGACGCCCCAAGGAACCCCCAAGAAGCACCCCAGAGGCTCCGAAACGGCCCCCAAGTGGCTCCAAAACTCGCGGTGTCGCCGTCCGCTCGGACCCCCCCGCGGAACTGCCCGAGACCCTCTGGCGGTGGCGGCGAACAGACACCAAACAAATATCACTCGCCTTTTCACCCCTTCGCAGCTTCTACTACCCCCAGATTGGCATAAACAAGGGGTCGGCGGTGTGGCGTAAGCCTAAGAATCATGGGTTAAGAAACTCAGAGTCTCAGGATTTGAATAAAAACCCAGAACTTCGATCAAAATCTTGGGATTTACATTGAAACATTAAGAATAATCGAGACTCTCGCCGAAAACTTACGTTTTCTTAAGCATCGCCCAGGGTGTACTCTCCTGCGCCATCCCATGCGAAAGTGGGACCCTCCATGCCGCTCTCTTCGCCACGTTGCGCGACAGTTGCACGTCCCTCCACTGCACAGGATGAGGGTACAGGATACGGGGGGACCGGCACACCGGGGATACATTGCCGATGCATCGGCGATCGGGCCCCGATAACGAATCCGCACTTTCCTGGGCGGGGTGGGCCATCAGGCCCGATTCGGGGTCGATGCGTCCCCCCTTGAGCTGAACTCCCCCTGACGCTGCCACTGGCGAAATCTTGTTGCTCGTTTCCCGCGTGCCTCGGCTGTCTGCCAGCGCGAGGAGCCCCGCAAGAGGACGAACCATGCGGCCTAGGAAGGCCGTGCAGACACCCGAGAACTGTCCTGCGACTGTCCTGGCAACTCCGTGTGTGGATAAAAACGCCAGGGAGGACAATCCACACGACGGAACAAAGAAGAGTGGACGTCGACCTTGGTCATCGTCCATGTGGGTCACCATCAACTTGTGCACCATCCTCACGAATCGGTGACGGCTGGCATAGACCATGACCGAAGGATTGCCAACAAAACGAAGGATTGCCCAAAAACCGAAGGATTGCCAAAAAACCAAGGATTGCCAAAAAAACAGAATTGACAATCCTTCTTGGGTTTTTGTTGGCAATCTTTGGTTTTTTGGCAATCTTTTGGCAATCAATCGATCGGCGTCGACAAGCTCCCACGACAACTTGGTCATCGTCCTCGCGTGCTCTTCCCTCGGCGGTGCGCTGCCGAGGGAACCCTCTCCGCGGCCGCCCTGGGCCCCCGAGCCTTCCCCCTGTGGTGTGCAAGCCCCCACGTTGAGGCCCAGCCTCGGCCCAGCCCGCGCCGCTCGCTTCCCGCGCCTCGGCCGCCAGCCCGTGTGAGCGAAGGGGCCCTGGAAGGCACAAACAGATAGACACGAATCACAGGCTTCCCCACAGTTTCGCACATCTTCTGGGCTTCTGCATGCCCCCCCCCCCCTTCCCATATCTTCCAATATTTTCCGGGGAGTCGACGATTCATTGTGCCTGTGTGTTGGTTTCTCCCTCCTGAGGTGGGAGGTGCCCTTGCGCCTGCGGGGGGCCGAGGCGTGTTGCCCAGGCCGCCCAAGAAGGCCGTCAGTGCAGCCAGTTGGGAGCTGCGGAGCCAGCAGTGCAGCCCTCAGCGAAGCCCGCAGTGCGGCCATCAGCAGGCCGCCTGCCTCATCCCTGTGCTCTGGGCGCTGCCCACGTTCTGCAGGGGTCAAACAGTGGGGTGGGCGCGAAAAAACGTGCACGCTTTCGTGCCCCATTGGGGCCCCTCGGGTGCACGGGGTGGTGCACCCTTCTTAAAGCCCTCGCATCTATTGCCCCCGCGTTACGCAACGCCCGAGCGTTCGGTCGGGCATGTCCTCCTACAGGCGGATTTTGGAGGAAACATGAATACAAACACAGTTGTTGGAGTACGTTTTGACTATTCTTGAATATTCCTCCTCTAGAGTTATGTTGCTCCCATCGTACTTAAGGACCAAGCCCCAGAAATAATTTCGAGCACCTAGACAAGTGTCGAACTAATGTCGAAAGAGTGTCGGAACAGTGTCGGACGAGTGTCCCCCAGGGCCCGACACGTGCAAACCCTCGAGCTTCGGAACCTGTTCTGGTGCTCGAAACTCTTTCTGCTGAGCAAGGCTAAAGTAGGTTGGAACATCATTCGGGTCGGGCGAAAGGGGGGATAGCAAAGGGGGGGGGGAGAATCAGCTCACGTAGCTGATCTTCCCAGCGCCCATGCATCCAGGAAATGGGCCCGGCGGCGGGGCCGAAACCAGCTGCATGCAGCAGACTTCGTACCCCCCCCTTCCCCAATCCCCCCCTTTCGTCCGGCCCGAGACTCCAAAGGGGTCTCGGGGGCCTGGCCTCGAGGGCCCGAGGAGGAGGAAGAGGAGGAGGAGGAGGAGGAAAAGAGGGAGGAGGAGGAGGAGGAGGAGGAGGAGGAGGAGGAATCCTAACTCTGGAAGGGCGCGCCCGACGTGGCCCGAGCTCCGCCGAGGCGCCCGCGGCCGGCGCGCCCGCCGCCACGGGCGCCGCCGCGAGGGCGGGCCCGAGGCGCGCCCGAGCAGGGCCGCGGAGGAGGCGCGGCGCGGCGCGCGCGCGCGCCTCGCCCGCTCCAGCGCGCGGATCGCTGCCAGCGGCGCCGCGCCCATCTCCGCCGCGGCGTCCTTCGCGCTGGGGCGGAAGCACCGGAAGGAGCGGCGCAGCGCCTCGCGGCCGCGCGGGTCTCTGTCTTTGGCGTCTGGCGGGGCAGCACCGCTCGGGGAGGGGCAGGCGGGGGAGCGCCGCTCTTGGGGGGCGGCGGCGGCAGGCGGGAACGGGGGAGGAGAAGGGGGGGGGGGAGAGGGGCGGGCGGGGGAGGGGAGGGAGGAGGAGAGCGAGAGAAGGAGCGAGAGGAGGAAGTGGAAGTGGTTGAGCAGGAGGGCGAGTGACTCAAGGGAGAGTGAGAGGGAGCGGAAGGGGGCGGGAGGAGGGAGGGGGGGGAAGAGAGTGAGGGAAGGAGGAAGCAGATGAAGCGGAGGAAGACAAGGGGACCAGGATTAGCTGGAGAAGGAACCGAGCGACGATGATAAGCTGAGAGGAGCGAGAAGGAGCATGAGCGGGGAAAGACGAGGTGGAGCTGGAGGCCGAGGAGGGGGGTCCAAGAGATCAGCATAGACGAGGTCGAGGGAAGAAGAGGCCTCCCGGTCCAGCCCCAGGAAGTCCGCGACGGGGTCCACCGCGGCGAAGTCCCCGCGACGGTGGGCGTCGCAGAGGTCCTCGTAGGCGACCCAGCGCCAGGAGTCGGCGCTCAAGGAGCCGAGCGCCTGAGCCGACTCTCTCTCCTCGACTTCCTCCTCCTCCTTCTCCTCCTCCTCGACTTCAGCTGTGGTGGCAGGATGTTCAGGGGCGACAACTTTGGCCAAGTTACTGTTGCTCCGACCTCTCCTTCTCACCCAGCAAGGTCGTCCCAACCTTTTCATCCGCAATGTTGTGGACGATGTGGCGCTTCAGGTGTGTGGGCGACCACTGCAGGTAACACAGGTACTTGCGGGTGCAGTCGGCCAGCTCTTTGCGTGCTTCAACGAGCTTCACCTGCCCGTGAACATCAGGAAAACCAAGTACATGTGCACGCGTGAAGTTCAAGCTCATGTCATTGGAGCTTGGTGTCTGCCTGTGTCGTCTCGGGTCGAGCATGCGCGTAATCTAGGCACAGACGCGACAACTGGGACTAGGAGACGAGTGGGAGTGCAGAGGGCGAGGTTCATCGATGCAGGTTCGCGTTCGAAACGACTTCGACTTCTGAGGGAGGCCGGGGCTCATGTGGCTCTTGTGCAGCGAATGGGGGCAACGGCCTCAGCTCTCTGGGGTAGCAGCGTCTCGGGGATTTCGCCGACGGCCATGCATGGCCTGAGGTCGTCGGCGGCCCATGCTTTAGGGCGCCACCCAAAAGGAACCTCCCTGGGAATTCGGTTGCACTCGTTTCGTTTGGGCGAAATCGTGGACCGTTTCGTGGCCTATGTTGGCCATGTGGCCTTTCAGTGGGCCGCTGCGGTTTGGGACAGTTTTCCCAAGGCTTCGATTTTAAGTGCGACTGCTGGTGCAGCAATCACGCGAGCGAATTCGAAGAAGTATCCGTGGAGGGGAGCTTCCACGCCTGCGGACGTTGCTATTCTGAGTCTGCAGCGTATCGGTTGGAGTTTTCTGGACTTTCGCTCGGTCGAGTCGGACCTCGGGCAGGTCTGGAACCTTTCGCAGATTTCTCCAGTCGAGTTTCGGCTACAAGTCAAAGCGGCAGCCATCAGGGCTTCTGATAGGCAGGCCCTTATGCATGCAGGTGATGATCTCCCAGGGTACCCTCTGTTCTGGGATGCGTTGAAGCCTCTCCTCCGATCCTCCTCCTCCACGTGGAAGCCCCAGCATCAGAGGTCCCTGAAGAGCTTGATGAGCAATGTGCACTGGCCACAAGCACGGGTGCACAAGTATGGCTACCACAGCTGCTGCAAGTGTAGATTGTGTCAGGAGGAGGCGGGGAGTCTGTTTCACAGGCAGTATCGGTGCCCAGCGAATGCGTCCCTCAGGAGGGACATGGTCTCGCCTCAGCTCGCTAGCAGAGCGGCTCGCGTGCATGAGAGAGGAGACGAGCTTGCTGAGCGGCTCGCTCGAGCGATCTTCCCCTCGCCGCTGGCTCCTTTTCCAGCGCAGGAGCCTGAACAGACGGCTTTCCGGATAAACAGGCCTGCTTGAGGCCGTCTCAGCGGTTTGTTTTTTTTCGGACGGGTCCGCCCTCTGGCCTGGGATCCCAGGGCTTTCGCGGGCTGGCTGGGCTTTAGTCCAGGCCGATCCCCTGGGCAATGTTGTCTCAGCGTGCTACGGGCCCGTTCCGTTCTCCCACGGGCCGAGACAGTCGGCTGAAGATGGAGAAGACTTTGCCGTGCACATGCTGATGCAATGTGCGATGGCGCCAATAGAATTGTTTTGTGACTGCCAAGGAACCCTGGATGTCCTCTGGGGTGGCCAAGGGGCGGGGGCCTCTGCGGGAGGGCCCAGGGCCCATCTTTGGGCCCCCTTCTGGTCCAGCTTCGGGCCAGGGGACTTCACGGCGAGTAAAGCGGCAGCTCACTGCACGATGGCCGATGTCCACAGAGGTAAGACAACCCTGTGGGAAAAGAAAGCCAATGACTCGGTCGACTCTTATGCGAAGATGGGTGCTGCTAAGCATCACTTGTGTGAATCAGATGTGGACCTGTACAAAGGTCTAACATGTCTGGTGAAGGAGTCGGCCAAGTGGGCCGCCAATTTAGAGGTGCACCTGCAGGGACAGTCGGAAAAGCGTCTGGACACTGCCCGTTGGCCTCGCGGCGGCAGAAAAGGTTGCTCCCGATTCTCACGAGCCGCCACCTCTGCCAGAGCCTGAGATTGTCGAGTCGGAGGGCGGGGACGGGGTGGAACCTGGGTCGGGAGGGACGGGTTGTTTGGACTGGGCCGACATGGCCACCTCAGCCTTCTATGTGCAGGGCCATGCTCTCATGTGCTGTGAGATTGAGAGCCCAGCCCGTGCAGGAGTGCCTATTGTTTACTGTGTGAAATGCGGTGCCTACTGCGAGGACTATAAGCCAGGGGACCTGCTCGTGACAGGGTGTAACCACAGGCCTCGTTCCGCCCAGGTTAGGCACCACTTGAAGCGAATTCGGGACGGTAAGCACCCCCATGGAAGGGCCACGTCCAAGAATTTGGTGGTCTCCCAGTCTCGAGGGCTCTCGGAGGCGGAGAGAGACCTCATGTGCGTTCGCTGTCACCCCTCGCCTCCTCCTGCCGCAGGTAAGGCGGGCCGTCGACGTAGGGTCGGCTACGCTTGTCGCGAGGCCGTGCTGGAAGCCTTCGGCCTGCAGGAGAGCGACCTCGACACGGTCAGGTCGCTAGGCGAGGCGGCGCGCCGACCTCCCCAGGATCCCGAGGACGAGGAGGCCTCGGATTCGGAAGGAGAAGTTGTTTTTTTAAGTTTTGTCTCTGACTTTAGGTCGCTCCACAACAACGACAACAGCAACAGCAACAACAACAACAACAACAACAACAACAACAACAACAACAATTACTAGCACGTGGGGACACTCCGTTCTCACCAGTGCCAGGGTTTTCATACGACGCCCGCCAATACCCCCACTTTGTGGGGGGGCCGGTTCAAGCTCTACCACATTTCCAAACGACTCTTCGCCACCACCCACACCCAGCTTCCCGCCCTATGACGTTCGGACACTTCACTTCGTGGCCTGCGGACGACCGTGGCTACTACACTGGCGCATGGGTACAGTGACTTGTTGTGGTAACATTTTCTGGACGCTAGCTTAGTATACGACTTTTCCCCCTGTTCCAACACTGGACACCTGTACTGGTTTTTGGTGGTAACGTGTTCCTGACGCTAGAATAGGAAACCACGGTAAACCAGTACGACGCCGGTACTGTCTGTAGGTCCTACAATGATATGGACTGCTTTGGCTGGTGAGGCGCTAGCGTCTGATACGACGTTTTTCCGTTTCTGTACCACACAAGCGAAGACACTTATTTTGAGTGGTACCACGTGGGTGGCGCCAGCATACCACAGGACTTGTTTCCGTTGTTGTGAGACGATACATGCTCATTCTTGTTTTATTTGACAGGGATGATGGCCCTGGCAGGTGCGTAACCGTTGTTGGAGAAGTTCGAAGCACGTGAAAAACTTGCTCGCAAAAGCCCGTTTGACAGAAATGTTTAAAAAGTGTTGGGTTTCCTACAAATCCGCAAGAGCGCGCGGGATGAAATGTTGACACTTTTTTGGAAAAAAACCATTGGTTTTTTGATGTTTTTATGTTAAAATCGTTACGAACACTAAGGTTTTGAAAGGATTTCGTCTTGCGCGCGCGAATGTCCACTTTACCTTATTTTTTGCAAGGGATTCTTGAAGTTTGGTTATGTTAGAACAAGAAATGTCCACTTCGCCTTATTTTTTGCAAGGGAAAACCGCCCGTAACAAAACAACCGGATCCGGACCAACCCGTTTTGCCGGAGACTTCCTCACGAAAGTGATGAAAACATGGCTGCGGCCTAGGCGCGGCGAGGGGGCCGCGCACCAGGGGCCCCAACAATAATTATTCTTTAGAAGTAATAATGTTCAACAACAGCACAAACAAACAACAACAACAACAACAACAACAACAACAACAACAATTACTAGCACGTGGGGACACTCCGTTCTCACCAGTGCCAGGGTTTTCATACGACGCCCGCCAATACCCCCACTTTGTGGGGGGCCGGTTCAAGCTCTACCACATTTCCAAACGACTCTTCGCCACCACCCACACCCAGCTTCCCGCCCTATGACGTTCGGACACTTCACTTCGTGGCCTGCGGACGACCGTGGCTACTACACTGGCGCATGGGTACAGTGACTTGTTGTGGTAACATTTTCTGGACGCTAGCTTAGTATACGACTTTTCCCCCTGTTCCAACACTGGACACCTGTACTGGTTTTTGGTGGTAACGTGTTCCTGACGCTAGAATAGGAAACCACGGTAAACCAGTACGACGCCGGAACTGTCTGTAGGTCGCAGGTGCGCAACCGTTGTTGGAGAAGTTCGAAGCACGTGAAAAAGTTGCTCGCAAAAGCCCGTTTGACAGAAATGTTTAAAAAGTGTTGGGTTTCCTACAAATCCGCAAGAGCGCGCGGGATGAAATGTTGACACTGTTTTTTTTGAACAACCATTGTTTTTTATGTTTTTATGTTAAAATCGCTACGAACACTAAGGTTTTGGAAGGATTTCGTCTTGCGCGCGCGAATGTCCACCTTACCTTACTTTTTGCAAGGCATTCTTGAAGTTTGGTTATGTCAGAACAAGAAATGTCCACTTTGCCTTATGTTTTGCAAGGGAAAACCGCCCGTAACAAAACAACCGGATCCGGACCAACCCGTTTTGCCAGAGACTTCCTCACGAAAATGATGAAAACATGGCTGCGGCCTAGGCGCGGCGAGGGGGCCGTGCACCAGGGGCCCAACAATAATTATTCTTTAGAAGTAATAATGTTCAACAACAACAACAACAACAACAACAACAACAACAACAACAACAACAACAACAACAACAACAACGACGACGACGACGACGACGACGACGACGACGACGACGACGACGACGACGACGACGACGACAACAACAACCTCCTCTTCCTCCTCCTCCTCATTCTGGCTCAACCGATCGCACGTCCCTCCTCCTCAGCGCCTCTTGGAGGCGACGGCACGGCGGGGCCCAGAGGGGCTTCGGCGCTGGCCGCACCCGTGTGGGCTGCTCTCTCGGGGGAGGCGGCGCGGCGGCGGCGTCGCCGCCAGCGCCTCGCGGCGCGGCGGCGCGAAGGGGCTGGCGCTGCTCCAGCGGACGGCGGAGGTGCGCCTGCGGCCGCGGCCGCGAGCCTGCCGCTGGTCGCGCTGGCTGCTGCTGGGCCTGAGCCCATGGAGGCAGACCTCAAGGACGACTCTCGGGCGGACGTGCCGTGTTCGCGCGCGGTGCGGAGGCGGCTGCGGTGCACCGACACCGTGGCTGGCGAGGCGTGTGCGGCGGCGGCGCCAGCTTGGGGAGCGGGACGCGCGGCTGCGGCACCCGATGGCGGCATCTGCGAGGCGGACGTCGCGGCGATGGAGAGCCAGCCGGAGAGGCTGGCGGCGCAAGGAAGAGGCGGAGGAGGAGGAGGAGGAGGAGGAGGAGTAGGAGGAGGGGGAGGAGGAGGACGAGGAGGATTCTTCCTCGTGTTCCTCGTGGAGGAGGACCTCGCCGTCGGCCTCGTGTGGTCAAGGCCCTGCCCGTCAGGGCCCCCGTGCGGGAGGGCCGTGGACTGCTGCGAGTTTGCGGTCGGGGGGTCTGAGACCAGACCCGCCCCGCGGTGGGGCAGCGGAAGCCCGCAGTCCGATGCTCGCTCGTTCGCTCGCTCGTCCTCTTCTTCTTCTTCTTCCTCCTCCTCCTCCTCCTCCTCCTCCTCTCCTTCCCCTCCTCCTCCTCCTCCTCCTCCTCCTCCTCCTCCTCCTTCGTGGCGGGGACGTATCCATACCCGCCGCCCGGGCAACAGACGTCCGGGGAGCACAGCGGGCGGCGGATACGGCTCTATGCTTTATCCCCAGGGGGCCATACGGCAGGTCCGTGTCGTGCCGACTTCGGCGTTGGTTTCTGACACCGCGGGGATCGTTCAACCTTGAACGATCGGCCGTTTTCGAAACGTCCAAATCGTTCCACACCGAACGATTCTGGGTCGCCCGCGGCGTTCAAAGCTGAACGCCGCTGGCGGGGTCGCCGCCGGTCGACACGACGCGAACCTACCGTATCCGCCGCCTGCCGATGTCTCCGAAGGCCGATCGCCCCTCCTCCTCCTCCTCCTCTCCTCCTCCTCCTCCTCCTCCTCCTCCTCCTCCTCCTCCTCCTCCTTCTCCTCCTCCCTCCTCCTCCTCGTTCTCCTCCTTCTCCTCCTCCTCCTCCTCTCTCCTCTCTCTAGTTCTCCTCCTCCTCCTCCTCCTCCTCCTCCTCCTCCTCCTCCTGCTTACGGATAACCCCCGCGTCGGACCTCCAAGCCGGGTCGGGGGGGGAAGGGTCCGGGCCTGCCGGGGTCCGCCCGGCGCTGCTGGTCGTGCGCGGTCCGGCTCGGTGGCCACGTGTGCGCCCTGCCCCAGATTTCGTAATAAGAGGGAGGGGGTCTGGACCCTCCAAGACAGGCCATTTCAGACCTCCCCCGTGGGAGAACCCTCCAAAACATCGTCCCCAGACCCCCCCAGGCCCTCCAAGATAGCCTGGAAGAGACCCCCCCGAAATGAGACCCCCCTCCCTTTATTACGAAATCTGGAGTACCCCCCCCCCCCCCCCGCTGACAGGGCTGGGCCTAAACGATATGGTTCGTTCTGGCTTCGTTTTGTTGTTCGTGCTGCTCTCCTGGTTTTCCTGTGCCTCCCTGCCGAAACGAAACACCGAACACGGCCGAAGTCCAGCACAACGGCGTTTGGGTCCAGCCCTGCCCCCTTAGAAATCAAGGGGGGGCAGGGTCCACAAGCGGCCTCCTACTAGATCCCTTTTCCCAGGACACCGCACGCGGATAAGTGATTCAGCGACGGGCAGCGCGCTGCTCCGATAGCGCTCTCTGCACTCTGGCACCGCCCTCTGCCTTTTTGCGCAATCGATGCATGAATGGAACTCAAGAGTGAAGCCATCGCAATCCGGGTGTTGCTACGAACGCCCCTGGCCCAAGGTGCCCCCAGCTCTTCGCTCTAGCTTGCAGCCCCTGGGGCACCCTGGGCCTCGTGAGAGGCACTCTGGGGGCCCTGGGGGCCTCCTCGTAAATCCTCGGGGCACCTCGGGCCAGGGGCACTTGCTTAGTCTTTATTATTATGGTTCTTCTTCTTCATATAATAGTAAGAATAATAGTTATTATTATCATTATTATTATTCGTAGTAGTAGTAGTAGTAGTAGTAGTAGTAGTAGTAGTAGTAGTAGTAGTAGTAGTAGTAGTAGTAGTAGTAAAACCAGTCTTAGTAGTATTATCATGATTCGTACTAGTAGTGTTCGTATTCTTATTCTGCTGTGTTATTATTATGTGTATTACTATTGTTGGCCAAACCTTGCTATGAAGCGAAGCAGTCCGAATCTTCCACGGCGGGCCTGCTGCCTGGCGCCCACTCGCTCGTCCCGCAGGCCTCTGGGGCGGACTTCTGGCCCTCACATCTCCTCCTCCTCCTCCTCCTCCTCCTCGCCTCCTCCTCCTCTTCGCCTCCTCCTCCTCCTCCTCCTCCTCCTCGCCTCCTCCTCCTCGCTCGTCCCGCAGGCCTCTGGGGCATAATTCTGGCCCTCACATCTCCTCCTCCTCCTCCTCCTCTTCCTCGCCTCCTCCTCCTCCTCCTCGCCCTGAAGGGTCCACGACAGAAGCAGCATACATCGGGCTGACGCCACTCGCTAGAAGCAGATACAGATCCGCGACAGATGCGTGGGGAAATCGTGGGGAACGGTTCGATAACCTTAGTGCAACTCGCTGCTCTTGCTGCTGCTGCTGCTGCTGCTGCTCTTCTTCTTCATCTGCTTCTGCATCTCCACCTCCTCCCACTCGAACTCATCGAGTATATCGTGGCGTGCCTGCCCGCCCGTTTCTATATCTTGCTCTCCCCTCTACCAATATCTCTCGTTACCGCCACCCTCTCTCTCTCTCTTTCTCTCGCTCTCTCTCTCTCTCTTTTTCACTCGCCCTCTTCGCGTCCCTTCCGGCGCCTCTGTAAGGTACTCGCAGAACAGTGCCAATACCTTGGCGTGCTCCACAAGGCCGTCATCCCACTCCTGGGGAGTAGGCGAGGACAGGGGACGGGAGAGGACCCTGCGAGTTGACTGCGGGCAAGGATGGGAACAGTGGAAGTTGGCCACCCCACGACACTGGACGTGGCCAGGGCTGGAACAGCTGGCAAGTGGCAGAAACGAGCTCGAGCACGACGGGACGAGGTCGCCAGGGCGGGAACAACTCGAGGGACACTTGTCGGGGCTGTACATCGTGGAAGGGTTGGCCCCAACCCACACTTCCCATCTTCCCTGTCTGTACATAACACTATGCCAAGGGACCAAACTCTATACGCCGAGGCTTGTTCCGGCCCTCTACTGCATGTTGCAGCCACGAAAACGGATCATGGTGCATACGGGATCCCGGTGTATACATGTTTCGTCGTTTCCCCGGGCAGACGGGGAAGCAAGTATGCACCATACCACCCCGACGACGCCCCCGACCCTCAAAGAGCCCTGGGATCAAAAAACAGCCCGCCACTGGTACAGTCGGTGCGTTGACCTAAGGAACCCCAAATAAGGAAAGAGGCCCCTTTTCTCCAGGAGTAACTTCGATCCCCGATCGAAAACCTAGGGAAGACAGAAGGCAAGCTTTGAAACAGTTAAGGAACACGTTAAGGAACACGGAGCCCCTGCCCAACGCAAAGGGTGCCTTCTTCAGCGCCCCGACTGTAATGCATACGCCCCAGCTTCCGAATATGAGCGACGGCGAAACAAAGGGGTCTCACGCACGATGGCACCGCGCGCTGACGCGGGGGCCTACGCTGGCCGCCAGCGCAGCACGCTACGCCGAGCACGCGGGGCGATGACGCGCTACCTTGCGCGGGCAGCTTGCGCCGCGAGTGTCCGCGCAGCCGTGGGAGGGAAGGCGGCGTCCAAGCTGCCGCCCAGGCGGAGCTCGGGCCCCCTTGTCGGCAGGTTGGTCTGGATGCACACGGGCTCGAGGGCCAGTTGGGCGCTCGTGGTGTCCGTGCCTTTCCCGGCCTCCGCTCCGTGCGTCCCTGGCAGGATCAGCTCCCGCCGCCGCCTGCCCCTGATATACTACATGCTGTCCAGGGTCTAGGCCCCTCATGCTGATGCCATCGCCTCCTCCCCCCCCCCCCCCTCGTGATGGCCCCCCCCCACCCTTTGGGCGTGGAGTGGTGCCCCCCGCCCCCCCGTGGGTGTGGTGTGGGGTCCCCCGTGTGGGTGTGCGCTGGTCAGGGGGCCCGCCTCAGCGCCAAAGCGTCGCCGTCGTCCTCTGCATCCGCCTCGGAGGAGTGCCGGACACACGGGGAGAGGAAGTGCGAGAGAGGGGAGCAAAGAGGGGAAGGGGAGGGCCAAGGAACGAGGAGGGAGGGATGAGGAGGGGGACGCAGGGAGGGGGCACAACAGCGCCGACGACGGTGCCCCGCCATCCTGCGGCGCTTCAGGGAGGCAGGGCGGCCGACCTCCGGCGGAGATCTGAGGCCGTCGTGGTCGTAGTCGTCGTCGCCGCCGTCGTCGTCATGGTGATCGTCCCCCCCGCCCATCCCATCGGGGGGGTGGGGGGGGGGGGCCCGAGGGACCCTGGGACCCATCCCATCTGGGGGGGGGGGGGCGTGGGCCCGGAGTTCGGGATCATGTGTATATATGTGTGTGTACATGTGTATCTATATGTGTATAATACGTGAACGTGTGTTGTATATGGTGTGTAGATGTGTAGGTGTGAATATGTGTACTATACCAATGCAGCGGTGCCTTGTTAGCTTTTTAGCGGGAAGTGCGCCGCGCGCGGTCGGGCGGCAAGGAATCGAATAGGAATCGAGTCTCCATCTCTGTATCTCTATCATTCATTATTTCTCTATGTTCTTCTCTCTCTCTCTCTATCTGTCTCTCTCTCTCTCTCGCTCTCTCCGTCTCACTCCAGGCCCAGCGCAGCACTAATGGTAAACTACGACAGGTCCTTAATCAAGGCTGGTTGAAATCGCATGGACAGAGGAGCAAACAGTGGAGAACCCCGAGACCCCATCAGACAACAACGCGGGCGGAAGAGAAAGGCGGATGCCAAGACCGAGGCGCGCACACAGGCGCACGGACGGGCCGCAAGGCGAGACAGGCCCACCACCCAACACAGGTGGGATCACAGCCTAGCGCGAACCAGACAGCGACGGTTCGAAGACCGATGCAGTCTCCGCGTCGGGAAACCCAGAATCAATGAAAGCACACGGAGAGGCTCAGCGAAAACGGGTCCGTTCGCCCAAAGGCCCGGGAAGGAGGAGAAGAGATTACCTCAGTAGCAGCGAGGAGGGGGGCTTCATCCCCTCGTCGCCGCGCAGGACGGACGTCGAACAATTGCTCCATCAGTTCGTTGAACCATTCGGCAGTCACGAGCTTGCGGCGAAGGTCCTGGAAGGTGGAGCCGATCTATGCCACAAGATTGCCCACGCCAGCGATGGCGCGCTCGGCGATGCTGTGGTCGTCGGCGGCCACATCGGTGGCGGCGGCGGCCTCATCCATCAACAGAAGGGCTCGCTTTTTGCCCAAACCCGCATGGTCTCGGAGCAGCGCACGCCCTCCGTGCGCAGACCCATCAAGATCGGGAGCGGCCAAGAGGGGGGCGTTCAGGATGGGGGGGGTGCAAATCGTGACCGGCGGCACGTGCGCGGCCCAGCGGGGGGACCAGGGACGTAATGAAATAAGAAGAGCCATGAAATCTTGGGAAATATCATGGCCCACGCCATGATATCCACCCCCCCTAGTCATCACCCCCCTCTTTTCCGCCCCCGACAAGACCTCTTCCGAAGATCTGGGGAATCCCTGGCGGAGAGCTGCCACTCGTGGCGCCGAGGACTGGCACACTGAAAGGGCCCAAGGACACACAAATAAATACACGCAGATACACATACTCCCGATATATTTTAACATTTTTTTAAGGTTCTTGTCCTCCCCGACGCTTCCCATATTTCCTCATATTTTCCAGGGGATCGACGACTCATTGTGTCTGTGTGTTTTTCCCCTCCTGGCACATGTGTGTGAGATGCGCCATGCCGGTGTACTGCTTGTTTCCGCCGTGCGGATGAGGTGTGCCCACGGCTGCTCCTCTAACCTGCCGTCGACATCGGCGTCTGCGCGAAGGTCCGGGCCCTGGCGCCGCATGGGCTCATCCTCGGGCTCAGCATCGGCAGGGACCTGTCGGCTACACGTAAGAGTGACCCTGGGTAAGAGTGGCCTTTGGTGCGCAGCTTTTTGGGGACCGCGGGGAGGCCAAATCCAGGCGCGCTAGCCGCTGCTACCGCCGAGACTTCCCCAGCAATGCAGGGCAATGGCGAACAGAAAACATTTCGATATAGGTTTTAGATAGGTTCAAAAGTAGGTTCGGGAGATAGGTTCGCAAGCATAGTAGGTCCCAGGAAGAAGGTGCAACGCGCGGGGAAAACGTGCCATCGGGCAGATAGCCTCCCGTTACTGGGTTTGCCAAAGCGCGTCGGCGCAAATGCCGCGGGCAGCTAAGTTGGCGAAGCGAATTCGCCAAACTAGCCCTGGCGAGTGCACCCGGGGACGTTCCCTGGCCGCGGTAACCTCGCCAAGAAGGTTTGCAATGAAAAACGGCGTCAGGGCTGCATTTCAGGCAGGGGCCGCGACACTTTTCGCGCGATGCACCCTCGGGCACTAAACATAGAAAATTAACGAGAGCGGCTGCGGACCCTCGGGCACTAAACATAGAAAATTAACGAGAGCGGCTGCGGAGAAGACCTCCGAAAACACGACCCGCCAGAAAAGCAGTCACGACGATGGGCGACCCAAAAATCAATTGGGGCAGCCCCGGCAACTGGCACGGCGAACAACGCAACTCAAGGAATCCCGGACAAGCCGGGCCGCCACCAACAATCACCCCGTACCAATACCGTGCCCCGGCGGGGTTCGGACACGCCATGGCTCCTCCTCATTATCACGGCCGCCCCGCCCAAGGTCATTCTGCCCTCCCCAAAGCCACTCGTTATCAATCACATCATGCTTCCCATCATCGCCCCCCTTGCCTCACCATCCTCCCCCTCGTCAGCCGCAGCATCCACGTTCTCATCCTCCTGCCCCCGATCCTCCCCGCCCTCCCCGCCCCCCCCTCCTCCTCCTCCTCCTCCTCCTCCCCCCCCTCCTCCTCCTCCCCCTCATATTCCCCATCTTGTTCCTACCTTTTCCCCCTCATCCCCCCTTCATCCGCCCCTCATCCTCCGCCCGATCCTCCGGGTCCTCTTGGTCCTCCTCCTCCTACTCCTCTCTCCTGTTCCTCCTTCCTCCTGGCCCTCCGTTTCCTCGACCTGGCTCTCCTCCTCCTCCTCCTCCTCTTCTTCCTCCTCCACATCCTCCTCCCGGCTCTCCTCATCCACCTCCTCCTCCTCCTCCTCTCCCATTCCTCTTCCTCCTCCTCCTCCTCCCCCACATTCTCCTCCACCTCCTCCTCCTCCTACCTTCAATCCCTGACCTTCCATGCTTCCGAAAACAGTTTGAAGTAGGTTTGAAATAGGTTTGAAGTAGGTTTGAAGTAGGTTCGAAGTAGGTTTGAAGTAGGTTTGAAGTAGGTTTGAAGTAGGTTTGAAGTAGGTTTGAAGTAGGTTTGAAACCTACTTTGAGGCCTCCGAAACCTACTTTGAGGCTCCTAAAACCTATTTTGAAGCCTCCGAAACCTACTTTGCGCTACCGAAAACCTACTTTTGGAATCCGGAAACCTTCTTTGGAACCTACTTTGCAAAAACAAATTCTGCAAACCTACTTTCCGACCTACTTTGGGGGCGCGGTTCCTTGAAACATCAGCACACGCTTGCCCGAGCCTTTCCCAGAAGTCGCCCCCGGGGGCGGCGCGCCAAAAAAGGAATCTGCGAAGTACCCCCAGAAGGTGAGCAAACCCAAAACACTTGTAGGTTGCCCCCGACAGGCGGGAGCCCCCCAAAGGGGGCGGTCTCCCCCCCCCCCGAGGGTCGAGGATCGAGCGCGATTTCGCTGTCGGGCGACAAGCGAACGTACCGCGACAGGACAGGGCCTTTTGGCAGCCCCCCCGCTGGCGGGCAGGGGGCCGCCGCCTGGCGCCCTAGGTTCTTCAGAAACCAAACCTGATGCGGCCGCCCCCCGCCCCCCGGGGCCCCTCCGGGCCCGGCCCGACGGAGGCGCCACTCCCCTTCCGTTTCTCTTTCCTCCTCCCACCTCTCTCCACCTCCTCTCCTCTTCCACGCGCCCTCATTATTCCAGCCTCCCTCCACCTCCTCCCCCCGGAAACGCCACCTCCCCCCTACCCGCCTTCTGGAGCCCCCCACCCTCCCGTTTCTGACCTTCTTAACCTTCCTGGTCCTCCCTCTCGCCCCCCCCCCCTCCCCCTTGCTCGGGCCCGCGGCCCTCGCCCCGCCCTCCATGCCCCACTTCCCGCTGTGGTCAGACCAAGGGGGAAACGCAATGCCCCCAGATCTCAGGACGGAGGTGGTTTAGAGCGCTTCCTGTTCCAACAACCCCCAGTCTTCCCTTCGGGGATGGATGCGCCCCTCCCCCCCCCTCCTTCCGGGGCCTGCAATGGGGGGCGGCGGATCGGTGGAGCGCCCGGGACGGTCAAAGATAGAGCCGGCATGACCTCGCAGAATGCAACGCGGTCTCACAGATGGTTCAAGATAGCCCAAGATGGATCAACATTGTTTCCCGCATGCTCCAAGAAACCCAAATACCGCTCCGAGACCGCCCCAAGCGGCCGCGGAGCCACCCAATAACACCCCCGAGAAGCCGAAATCTTTCCAAATCGTACGAGACACGAATGAATTGGGCCTTTTGGTCCATGCGCTTCCGAAGACTTTGGAAGCCTGAAGATAAGCCCCGAAGGAGTCCAGAAGAACCCAAGACAGCGCACTTCACGAAATACTCGGCTGGCTTGCTAGCAGAAGCCGCGCCTTGCCGGCGGCATTCCAGCATTTCCCCGAGAAGCTTGTTTGGAAAATATCATTACTGACCCGATCCCGACAAGTTACTTTTGATATTGTGTTCCCGACAACCTTTCCTGGAAAGCTACTTTTGCACATGAATGTCGCATTCCTTTCCCCTGAAAGTTTCTCGCGGCAATCGGTTTCGCCATCCTTTCCCTTCGAGTTACCTGCGCCGACCACTGTTGCCAGGCGCGCTGCAGACCTACTTCGCCGACCTACTTCAGGAGCTACTCTAAACCTACTTCATTTGTTTTGCGCCTCAAGCAAGCCCTGCATTCAAAGGGAAGTCTCGGGTCTAGAGATCCCCGAGCTCTCGACGCGAGGAAGGATGTCACAAAAGGGGGCTGCCCAAACACCCTGGAACGAGACTCCAGCATCATCTTCTGCGATTTTCACTGCGGCCCACGCTCCCGTGTCATCGTCCCCGTGCCTCAGGGATCCGTCTGTGAAATAAGAGATTTCCCCCCAAGATGACTCACGCCTAGGACAGAGCCCCAGGGCCCACGTGGACTCAACAGGAAGGTCCCCAGGAAGGTCGATACCCCAGGGCATCGGAGGGACAGAGGAGACAAGTTCCGTAATGGTCGGACCCCGCTCGAAAGGGCACCACAACTGTGCGAAGCGAGGAGGAGGCAAGGTGTGGGAACAGGTATTAGTCTCAGCTGACGCTGCTCCGCCGTCCGACCCAGGCGAAGCGTCTCCTTCAAAATCGGCGGACATATGACCCATGTCCAGCATTTCATCAACGTCATGCATATCAGATTCCAGTTCAAACAGTGGCGCAAACCTATTGTTGGCAAAGCGCCTATTCCAGGACAGATCGGCCACTCCCACCCGATCATCTCCCCCTCCCTCAGACTGGTTGCCAGTTCGACGCCTATGGATCCCCACGAGCGGATCTGGACTTGCATCTGCTAAGTGGGTGTGGGTGCGTGCTGGAAGATCCCCACGAGAAACAACTGAAGGCGCATTCGGATCTAACTCCCTAGATCTCGAGCCTTTCATGCAAGATTTCACCCTGGGGGAGGACGGGGGAGGAGTATGCATACCCAGGAGAGGGGTATTATCACCAGGTGTGAAGGCCCTAAATTCGCTGGTCCCAAAACGGACCGCTCTTAGGCAACCCTGGCCTCTTTTCGCGGCGGGCTTTTGGCCTCCTCGGGACCCCCCCCCACCGGTCGCAGAAGCGGATCCTCCTGCGTCGGGGCCCCAGGAAAAAAAGGCTGGGTCGGAGACAAAAACGGGGCGCTCATATCATCAGGTCCCTTTATCTCCTCCTTCTCATCATCTTTAGCTTCATCCTTAGCCTTCACGCCGTAGGGGTCCTCTGCGACCTCCGTCGGCGAGGCCTGATCGACCTTCATCTCATTGCCGTCATGCTCCATCTGAATAACAGGCGTTGGATGCCCTCCTATCGGCGTCGCAGGGCTCGGCTGCGCGGGGGGAATACTCGTCGGTGAAAGTGGCACTGCAGTCGCTGGAGTTCCCGACGTCCCCGTATCTGAACCAACCTGCTGCCGATGCTGGAGGTGGGTAATGATGGTGCTCATCTGCGTGTCCGTATGACACTGGCGCTGGCATATCATCTTGACCAACTCCGATAACTGTTTGATCTCCGCGTCAGTCTGCTGAGGTACAACTGGAGGCGCCGGTGGAAAGATATGCTGCATCATCTGCGGGAAGAAGGGCCCTGGCATCGTGACTCCGACCGCGGCTGGCATAGGTGGTGGCGGTGGCGGCATAGGTGCCTTTGCGGCTGGTGCTGCTCCTTGTGGGCCTGCTGGCGGCGTATGCAACGCACCTTCTCCCGTCATAGCTGCATCTTCTTCTCCGACCATGTAGTCCTCGAGCTCCTCGAGTTCATCTACTGCGGCCTTCCAGGCCACTAGATCGTTCTCGGCGTCTCTGCACTGAAGCTGAATATCGTTGATCCTGGTGGTGAGCGACTTCAGGTACGTCTGACATTTGTCCCTTTTAGTTTTGAGGTCCGTGAGCTGATCCGTTAAACGCTCCGTCGTGCTCATCCTATATTTCAAGCAGGCCACCTCCTTGATGTAATGGGTGGCGTCCTCTTTTCCTGCTTTTCTAGACACAACGATAAGCCTTGCAATCTCGAACATCCTCTGCTTCGTCCTGGCCTTGTAGTTCTTGATCCCTGGAATATCAGTGGGGACGTGATCATACCCAATGAACTCCATGTATTGTACTGCATCAGAACGTTTCATCGTGACTACCTTGTCGAGAAACCTCTTGATCTCCTCCTGCTCCTGCCTCATCTCCTTCCTCTCCTGGTCGCGTTGTATATCTCGCTGCGCTTCCCTGCGGGTGCGGCTCTGGTCGCGACGCTGGGGCTGATGAGGGCGACCAGGCTGAGGGGTGTGTCCTCGTACTCGCTGCTCGTACCGACGACCACATAGACATGCCCAATGATGCCCTCGAACGTAGCGTCCGCACGAGCAGTCCCACTGGTGTCCAGGTCCTGTCGGCATCTTCAGAAAATGGGGTGAACTATGGTGGCTTCTCAACAGGGGCTGGGCTTTGTAAAGAGACAAGGGCACTCGCGTTCTATGACGGCGCTCGCGTTGGCGCCGATGCCAGCGCGGTTCACGCGCCGTGATAAGAACAGAATGTGACAGCAGAGAAAGTGATTTACAGTATCAGTGTCGCGGCCTCTCCAGGCACGCTTAAGCCTCAGCCTCCTCGTGGGCCAAATGCCTTCTCCTCCTCCTCCTCCTCCTCCTCCTCCTCGTCCTCATCCTCCTCCTCCTCCTCCTCTTCACCTGCTGCTGGGAACTTTTGCTCAACGCATCGCGGCGGCGGCCAAGGCGACGCGCTGTGCCCTGCAAGCGGACAGTGTGCTGTGCGCCGCGCGGCGGGAAGCCGGAAAAGGCTCGGGTCGTGGAGGCTCGGGGGCTGGGACGTGGTCAGTGTGTCGCGCCGACGTGTGATGGGCCAGAACGGGTGACGCGACACGCTGAGCCAACGTTCCAATTATGCAGCTTGAGGGAGGCCGAAGGAAGGAGGGCGGAGCCGGGGGGAATAGAAGCGGAGGGAGGGGGGCGTGGCAGCAAGGGGGAGAGGAGGTAAGGCCAGGGGGAGGGACGTTCTCTCCTCCCCCCGCATGCTCATCCTCCTCCCTTCTCCTTCTGAACTCTTGCTCCCTGCTGCTCCTCTTCATCTCCTAATTCAAAACATGAGCACAGAAACTGGACAACAGCTGCTCCTTCTCCTCTTCCTCCTCCCCCTCCTCCTGCTCCTCCTCCTCCTCCTCCTCCTCCTCCTCCAACTCCTCCTCTTCGCCTTCATGGCCTTCGATGCGGCCTACAGCACCTCTCCTCACTCTCCCCCTCCGCCTCCTCCGCCTCCGCCTCCTCCTCCTCCTCCTCCTCATCCTCCTCCTCCTCCTCCTCCTCCTCCTCCTCCTCCTCCTCCTCCTCCTCCTCCCCGTGCCAATGCTGTTCTATACTCCTCTGGGGGAGTCGGCTGGGGACGCACGGGGCGCCACTAAGGGCGTGGATTATTCCCCACGCCCGACGAGCACCCCAGCAGAGCCCCCAGGGGAGTGAACAGCGGGGCGACAGTGGCAAGAGGCACGTTCAAGTGCCCTCCCAGCACAAGGAGTAACCGCCTGAGGGGGTTAGGGAAGGGCTAGAATCAGAGCGTGGGCTGGGGCGAATGCCAGTCCCCAGCCACGCCAGGGGGGTAGAGAAGCAACGGAGACCGTATGCATCATGTAGGGTTCCCATTTGACACAGAGGGGAGTAGTAAGGTAGGCGCAGTAGTTGCCATGTTGTTCGTGCGCAAGCCATAATTGATACCAAAGCACAATGCGATGCGGTTGCGATGTGATGCTATGCGACCCGCATTCCAGCCTTCCAGCCCTTATGCCCCATGGCCTATGGCCGATGGGGCGGTCCTCCCAGAGGGCAGGCGCATGGCACACGCAGTCCCAGCTACGGGCTATGGGACACGCAGCCCTGATTAATTACATGGGACACGCAGTCTCGATTATGGGCCACACAGTCCTGGCAAATGGGACGCACAGTCCCTGTCATGGGACACGCAGTCTTGGCAAATGGGACGCGCAGTCCCTGCGATGGGACACACATTCCTGGCAATTGGGACGCGCAGTCTCGATTATGGGGCACACAGTCCTGGCACAGGGGACGCACAGTCCCTGTTATGGGACACGCAGTCCTGGCAAATGGACCGCGCAGTCCCTGCTATGGGACACACATTCCTGGCGAATGGGACGCGCAGTCTCGATTATGGGACACACAGTCCTGGCAAATGGGACGCGCAGTCCCTGTTATGGGACACGCAGTCCTGGCAAATGGGACGCGCAGTCCCTGCTATGGGACACACATTCCTGGCAAATGGGACGCGCAGTCTCGATTATGGGACACACAGTCCTGGCACAGGGGACGCGCAGTCCCTGTTATGGGACACGCAGTCCTGGCAAATGGGACGCGCAACCCCTGCTATGGAACACACATTCCTGGCACACGGGGCGCGCAGTCTCGATTACGGGACACACAGTCCTGGCAAATGGAACGCACAGCCCCTGTTATGGGACACGCAGTCCTGGCAAATGGGACGCGCAGTCCCTGCTATGGGACACACATTCCTGGCAATTGGGACGCGCAGTCTCGATTATGGGACACACAGCCTGGCAAATGGGACGCACAGTCCCCGTTATGGGACACGCAGTCCTGGCAAATGGGACGCGCAGTCCCTGCTATGGGACACACATTCCTGGCAAATGGGACGCGCAGTCTCGATTATGGGACACACAGTCCTGGCAAATGGGACGCGCAGTCCCTGTTATGGGACACACAGTCCTGGCAAATGGGGCGCGCAGCCCCTGCTATGGGACACACATTCCTGGCAAATGGGACGCGCAGTCTCGATTATGGGACACACAGTCCTGGCAAATGGGACGCACAGTCCCTGTTATGGGACACGCAGTCCTGGCAAATGGGACGCGCAGTCCCTGCTATGGGACACACATTCCTGGCAATGGGACGCGCAGTCTCGATTATGGGACACACAGTCCTGGCAAATGGGACGCACAGTCCCTGTTATGGGACACGCAGTCCTGGCAAATGGGACGCGCAGTCCCTGCTATGGGACACACATTCCTGGCAAATGGGGCGCGCAGTCTCGATTATGGGACACACAGTCCTGGCAACTGGGACGCAAAGTCTCTGTTATGGGACACGCAGTCCTGGCAAATGGGACGCACAGTCCCTGTTATGGGACACGCAGTCCTGGCAACTGGGACGCGCAGTCTCTGCTATGAGGCACACATCCCTGGCAATTGGGACGCACAGCCCCTGTTATGGGACACGCAGTCCCCGCGCATTGGAGGATGCCCCATGCAAATCGGAGATGAGGGGGAGAGATCGAAGTGGAACGGATAGGTGGCAGTGTCATAGTCGCGGGGATACACGTGACCGTAGAGGTAAAGGGATAAGCAATGTTAGGGCTTCACAGTCGTGGGGCGGCCCTCCTGTTGAGGGAGGATGAGAGTGGGGTTTAATAGGGCTTCGCAGTCGTGGGGCAGCCCTCCTGTTGAGGGAGGATGAGAGTAGAATAGTTAAACGGGCTTCACAGTCGTGGGGCGGCCCCCCTCCAGAAGGAGGACGGTGGCGCATTCCATATTATGTGAAGCACGATCCAGCACAGCAGAGCCTGAATGTTGGCGGGGGGGGGCAGGCGTCAGCGTAAGTAAAAGGATAAGATTTGGGATATAATAAGGCTTCACAGTCGTGGGGCGGCCCTCCTGGTGAGGGAGGATGAGAGTAGGGTAGTTAAGCGGGCTTCACAGTCGTGGGGCGGCCCTCCTGTTAAGGGAGGATGAGAGTAGGGTAGTTAAGCGGGCTTCACAGTCGTGGGGCGGCCCCCCTCCAGAAGGAGGACGGCGGCGCATTCCATATAACGGACTTCACAGTAGTAGTGCGTGTTTCGCCTGGTTGGCATCCGTAGGTAGACTACAGAATACCCGAGTAATAGCAGTCGGGGCACGGCTTAGTAGTAGATCCCACTTGGAGGGGCATTGGGTGACGGGGGTGAGCCGGCATCACAACCCTGAGGGGGATGGGGGGGGGAGATGCACTGCCACTTATTAGTGGGGGGACAGGCGTCAGCGTAAGTAAAAGGATAAACTTTGGGATATAACTAGGGCTGACCTGTGGACTACCGTCCACGAGTGCCAGAATATTGAGTGTGCGCCTGCTGCTGCGCAGTGCTGCAGGGCGAGCTGTGTGCTTGATGGTTCTGTCGGCGTCCAGGGCAGCGTTTGCAGCAGCAGGTGCAGCAGCGGATCTGGCAGCACGGGCAGCAGCCCGAGAGCAAGTCGGAACGATGTGCCTGAGGGGGCGGGGCAGCCAGGAGGAGGTGGTCGAGGAAGAGAAAGCCATCTGTATGGGAAAAAAACAGACCCCACACCTCTTGGGACACGCGTGGTGCGATAGGGGTTTTAGAAAATGCGTTCCTGGAGGTTGGCGTCTCGCTCCAGAGAAAGATTTGGGCACCCCCTCCCAGGCGAGAGGTGTCCCAAGAGGTGTGGGGTGTGGTTTTTGCCAATCAGGCGGGGCTTCCATGAAGCAGGAATTGTCAATCCATTGGGGGGGGGGAGGTTCGTGGAGACTCCTGCGGAGGCCGTACTGTTACCTTATAGGAAGGGCTGTATTTTCCAGATCCGCTGATCGCGTTATCGTACACGAGACCCACCAGAGAGGATAGCTTGTCAACGGCGGACGGTGAGGGCAGGCACATCGTTATCTGCACGGCCGCGCTGGGGACCACTAGGCTAGTTGGCAGCAAGAGGCAGGGCGCACTAGACAGTGGACAAACGTCGACAGCCAACAGCCCGCCAGATTCGTTACCTGGTACGGAGTTCTGTGTGCGGTCGCCGGGCACCCGGTGCGTCGTGATTGCAACGGCCACGATCGAGTTGCATTCAGGTGAATTCTGGCACGTTGCCAAACACAGCCGCTGCCTGTCCGGGCGCATGGAGGACGGGGGCCCGCTTGTGGTAGAATCCCGTCCCCGCTGGGATAACACGCCAGGGTGGCTATCGTGAGCCTGGGAGCCTCTGAAAGGGCGTGTCGCCGCGCATATTTCGCGGGGCTGGAGGACCTCGCGGAGCACATGTGAAGTGGCTATCCTGGTAGTTGTGTTTGTCACAATGGTAGCATCATGTTGACACTCTTGTTGAGCATTGCCAACAATGCAGTTGTGACACGCCATGTAGCACGTTGCAGACATTGCATAGTGCGCGGGAGAAAAAGGAGCACAGTGCAAAGGGGAGAGCACGAACACCAGCAGAGCATGCACATTGCCATGCAATTGAGCATGTCATGTTCCCTTTTGTTAGGGCACGAAACGGTAACACTTTACCCGCGCCTTAAACGACAGCCGAGACGATCCTCCTCCTCCTCCTCCTCCTCCTCCTCCTCCTCCTCCTCCTCCCTCTCCCCCTCCCCCTCCTCCTCTCCCTCCCGATCCCCCCATCCTCCTCCTCCTCGTCCTCGCCCCCTCCTCCTGACTCCCTCCCCCTCCTCCTCGGAGGAGGGACGGGGCTCTGGACGGGGGGGACCGTGGAGACAAAAGGGAGCCGGCCGGCACGACAGCGCTGCCGAGGGCCGCGCGTTGCGGTCGACGCACCAGTCCGTCTCCGGGAGCTCCTGGCGGCGGAGGCCGAGCCGGCGACACTCTTTCCGGTCGCGGCCGCGAGACGACGGTCAGGCGGCAAAAGCAAAGTCCGGGACGCGAACTGGGCGAATATAGCTAAAACAGGCGCAGGCCGGCCGGCACACTCAGACAGCAGCTGCGAAGCTGAAGGGGAGGAGCTGGCGGCGGAGCCTGCGACACGCGCAAGGTGAGGAAAGAACAGCACAGGGTCGAACGTGAAGGAGGATAGAAGGAGAAACAACTGCAGAGACATAACCTTTCGACGGTCCGAGCGGATTTCTTGGACCTGCGCCGGACACCACTCGCTGTGGCGCGCGGGGCGCGCAGGGGGCAGCGCCAGAGGCGCCGCCAGGGGAGCGCCGCGGACCGTCGAACGTTCATGTTGTTATACAGTTGTTCTCCTTCGAGAGGGGGAGGACGAGGAGGAGTGGGAATGGGCAAGGCGACGAGGGCGCGACAGGTAGGGGCGCGAGTTGACGGACCGCGAGTGGGGCTCCCGTTCGAGCGGGATCTCCATCCGACAACACACACACATACACTCAGCCACCGCACCGCGCGAATTCCACCCAATAGATTTGGACGTCGCACGTGCTGGTTGTCAGCTGATGACTGGCGTGGTCCTGGGCAGGAGTGACCTGTGGCGCGGGGCGTGCGGGAGCCTGCGGAGGGCCAAATACATGCGCGCAGGCCCGTCTTGGGGGGCCTTGTGCAAGCCCGCACCAGAGCTCACTGCACACCCGTGTGATGGCATCTCGTGTTTGGGCGCCCGAGTTATCCGGGGTAACTCGGGTCCGGGGTAACTCGGGCTTGGTTTCCCGAAAAAAAAGGAACCCGAGTTAGCCCTGACCCGAGTTACCCCTGATAATTCGGGGCTCTGGGCGCCCGAGTTATCCGGGGTAACTCGGGTCCGGGGTAACTCGGGTTTGGATTCCCGAAAAACGAACCCGAGTTATCCCTGACCCGAGTTACCCCTGATGATTCGGGGCTCTGACGTGTGTCACGTGTACATGCAAGTCCTCTGTGGCACTGCCCGTGGCATGGATTTGGCGTGCACTCACCGCTGCGGCGTGGCCGCTGTGCCGTCGCACTGCCCCTGGCCAGGGAAAAGATGGCTCATCGGTCGGGCCGAGAAGGGCTCGTGCCAGGCGCTCACATCGAAGAACAGGATCGGTGTGGGCTCCGTACGCCCGCAAGCGCGGTCGTAGCCGTCCCGCATCTTGCGAAAGACCTCGTGCCGGCAGTTCTCGACCTGCCGCACGCTGTCGTCCAGGAGGTCCGCAGGGGGCGGCTGCACGCGCGCAAAGGCCGCGACGCCGTTCGTCCTGCACTGCCAGAGCCGCAGCTGGCTGACCTTCTCTGGGCCTTGGGCGCCCTGCCTCTGCATCTCCTCGAAGAGCATCATCGGCGTCCCGGCCTGCACCATGACCTCGTTGTAGCCCACAGTGTGGTGGCGGCCGCCCGTGGCGGCTTGCCGTGGCGACGCCTTCGGGTTGTGATCCATCTGATCCTGGACGAACTTGCGCGTCCCCTCCGAGGCAGGGTCAAATCGGCCGCTGTAGCTCATGTTCGGAGGGAGGAACCTCTTGTCCACCCGCCAGCGGCCCGTGCCCAGGCCGCCGAAGTCGGCCCCGTGGAGCTTGAAGCCGCAGTCGGGCGTGCCGAGGCACCTGGAAGGCTCCCAGTCACCGGCCGCACCCCTCCAGTCCGTGGCGCATCCGGTGAACTCGCCCGCCTGGTTGGTCCCGGCGTCCTCGACGAACCCGCACCCCACAATTGCCGAGGAGGAAGGCACCCCACAGACGCAAACTCTCGGAGGTCCGCGCGGAGCTCGCGGGTCGGCGCTGGAACCCCTCCGTGGCGTGCGGGGCGCGCCAGGGGCGGCGCCAGAAGCGCCGCCAGGGGGCGCCCGGCGCCGAGCCCGGGAGATCCGCGCGGAGCCCCGGCAGTTGCTGCCCGTGCCGTCGTGCATCTTCTTCGGGATGGGGTTGGGCTGGAAAACTGCCAGCACCTTGTGGGACGCCGGCGTCCTGCCGCAGGCGTAGCGGTTGCAGCCGTAGAGCGACGTGCCGCTCTCGCGCGCGTCGCGATCGTCGCCCGCTCGGGGCTGGTACGGGCCCGCCAGGTCCGCATTGATGAAGGAGGCAGATGTGGCGGAAGGAGAGAAAGCCATAACCATAACTTAGACGGAACGCGGAAACGTCGGTGCTGATCCTGGAGACCGTCGAGTCGTGTGAATCATCCTCGCGACTCGGCGACGGTCGACTGGGAGCATGACAAAGATGGGCGCCGACGAGCTCCCTCGACATCTTGGTCAGGGCTTATGCTGCCCCCATCGTACTCAAAGACCGCATCCCGGAAATCATTTCGAGCACCCGGGAAAGTGCCGAAACAGTGTCGAAACGGTGTCGAAACAGTGTCAAGGCTGAAGTAGGTTGGAACATCGTAAATCATGGCCAGCGTGTCTCCTCCCTCCCTGTGAACCAGTTGCCGGCAACGCCCCTGCCGGAGACGTGGTCCCGGCACCTCGGCCACTCCTGGAGGCTCCAGCCCGCCGGGCGGTAGCCCTCCTCCTCGGGCTGACGCCCGTGCCGAAGCCCCAGGAGCTGCGAGAACTTCTTTGATGGGCCAATGTTCCACCACCGCTGCCCTGTGTAGGACGGGGGAGAAGGGAGGATAAGGAGGTCCTCCTCCTCCTCCTCCTCCTCCTCCTCCTCGTCCTCCTCGTCCTCCCCCTCCCTCTTGTCCTCCTCGTCCTCCTCGTCCTCCTCCTCGTCCTCTTCGTCCTCCTCCTCCTCCTCCTCCTCCTCCTCCTCCTCCTCCTCATTCTCCTCCTCCCTCTCCTACCTATGGTCATGGAAAATGGGCCCATCGTTCTTGTCGAACCCTGTCCCGTCCGTCCCGCCCGGCGGAGAGGAGACAAGCTTCACGATGAGCCCCTGCTCGAACTGCCGGTTGAGCTCTGCCGCCACCAGTTGGTCCTTCCGTAACTGGCCCTCCTCGTGGCTAGGACACGCCCGCTCCGCGTCCAGCTTCTGCGCGGCAGCTGGCGGAGGACCCGAGCACGAGGCCAAACTGCTGGGCCACATGGCTTCAGCCAAGACTGCTTGAGCCAAGATGGCTCCGGCGAGGGGCCACTCTCGCGCGGAGCCGACCACTGGGCCTGGCGACGCCGACTGACCACCGTGCCACCTCAACGATGCTGGCCGGACCCACCGTGGGCCCAGGATCGGCGTGCAGGCGGGAGAGGAGGACGGGAGAGGTGGGAGGGTGCGGGCAATGTCTTTGTCCACATCCACTGCGTCTTGGAGTTTCGGACTCCCTTCCCAAGAAACATGAGGCGCACTGGATATGGATTATAATCTGCCTCCAAAAGGCTCAATTTTTATCCATATCCAGTGCGTCTCGGCCTTGCGGCGCCCCTTCCAAGAAAGTCCAAGACGCACTGGATATGGATATAAATATTGCCCGCAGAGGGGGGAATCGCTGGCGCCGGCTCCCACCTGGAGCGTCGCAGCCGGCCAGCGAGAAGCTTGGCGCTGATGGCCCGGGAGCCCCGGGACTCGCCTCACCCTCCGCTGCCTCGTCGGTCGCCCGGCTCCTGCTCGGGCGCGGACCGCGGTTGCCACACATCTGTGGTGGGGTCGCGCGCCATCCCCTGGCGCGCGCGATCAAAACAGCAGTGCTGCGGCCCGTGGGGCTTAGTTATTCCCCGACCGAGCGAGCGGGGCATCAGACATGCACGAGCTGACAGTACACGTTGTGACGCAGGTGACATGGAGCGGTGCGCGCCACCCGTCTCATGGGCAGCCCACGATCCCGGCCACGAGGAGGAGGCCCCTGCGAGTCCTTTTCACTGCTGCTCACTGTGTTCTAAGGCGTACTGCAGCCCACCTCCCCGTATAGCCTCTATGCACTGCTCCTCGGCGCTGGCACTTGCTCGCCATTCAGCATTTGAAGCACTCTCTTGGGCCATGACGGGCACGGGGGCACGAATTGTATCAATGACGATCCTGGCTGGGACCAGAGCGCAGCCCGCTGGCACAGGTGGGCTTGAAATAAGACCACTAAATAACCTTGTACTGGATGGGGTCCCATTGGAAACGGGTCCTGCCGCCCCGCGCTTCCTCTGGACCAGCCTCTCGTCCTTGCGAAGATCCACCCCGATCTGCATGCTGACCACCGTTTCTGGGAGAATCCAGCCTCAGCGACAGGAGCCCTCCCGGGGGCTCTCGAAGGGGCAGCAGCTCCACCAATACCCCAATGGCGCCCCAAAGCCCCAAGGACCCCCTTCCCTTCGTGCTGACTCGCCCCTCGCTCCCCCTAGGCTTAGGTCGGGCATGTCCTCCTACAGGCGGATTGTGCGAGAGAAATGGGAAAGTGTCAACCACCAAAATAAATATAAAAGACAACACAAAAAAACGTCACCAGACTATGCTTCCACTCGTCTTGAATGCCCCTCCCGTAGAGGGACATGCCCGACTTAACCCTAGGCAGCACTGCGTGAGCCTTACCCCTGCTGCCCATCGCCTTGCACCAACAGGGGCTCCCCAGCGGGCACGAGCGAAGCACACCCCAACCTTTACCAGCGGGTATGTCGACCCCTCTCCCAGGCTTTGGGGGACTTTCGAATGGACCAGAAATTCGCGGCCCAACCCTGGGATATACGACGGGGGGGGGGCGTCCATCCTCGATGGGAGTGCGTCCGAATACCCCCAGAGGGGCATATCCCAAGGTATCCTCCTCTGCTGACCGAGAAAAGCCGAAAAGCCGGGGGTGGGGGGAGAGAAAGATCGCCTGCGACCGTTGAGCCCCTGCTGGGCCAGATCGACCGGCAGCAGGGGCAGGGCCCACAGTGGAGGAGTAACAAACGGCATGCACTTATTTTCGTCGGCAACTAGGCAAGATCGCTGCGCTGGCGAGGACACACACAGCACAAACACACGAACTTTCGCAGCTCCGTGTGGAATTCCTGGATCGGCGCTGGGCCCCCCTCTCTGGCACATCAGCATAAACGTTCGGAACTTCGCGCGGACTTCTTGATCTGCGCGGGAGCCCATGGCGGCGCCTCCGGCGCAGCCCCTGGGGGCCCAGCGCGGGTACAACAAATCCGGGCGGACCTCCGAAGTACAGTGGAGGCCAGTCCACAAGAGACCTGCCACGAGAAACCCCACCCTGAGACCCCAAGACGGCCAATGAATGTTTGGCGTGTGGACGTCACGCTTCCCATCGCAGAGCCATCGAAGCCCAAGAAACCCAGGGCATCCTGGAGGGAATCAGGGTTTTTTCTTGTCTCGGGAGCGGCCAAGAGGGGGGTGTCCAAGAGGGGGGGATGCAAATCATGACCGGCGGCATGTGCGCGGCCCAGCGGGGGGGCCTGGGACGTAATGAAAGAAGAAGAGGCGCCATGAAATCTGGGGAAAAATCATGGCCCCCGCCATGATATCCACCCCCCCTAGTCATCACCCTCCTCTTTTCCGCCCCCGACCAGGGCATCCTGGAGGGAAGCTGGGTTTTTCTTGTGGCCCCCAGTGTACGCTTATCCTCGAGACTCGGGCGTCGCCATCTGTGCTGCTGATTCGGCCGGCTTCGGGCCCTGGGGCCCTCACAGATCGACCCATAGCTCGAAAAACTGGCATAGAGAGAGGGGGGCAGCACAAGTACAGTGAAAGGGCCCCAGGACACACAAATAAATGTACACACAAATAAAAAGATACCCTATATTTTCCCATATTTTCTGGGTGTTTGTCTCCCCCCCCCCTTCCCATATTTTTGCATGTTTTCCTGGGAGTCGACGATTCATTGATTTCTTCCCCTCCTGAGAGAGGGGGGGCAGCACAAATAACCCCAGGAAGCATTTAAGAACCCCCCCCCTCCGGCAAATCGATAACCCTTCCGCACCCTGGAAGCGTTACCTGGCACCAGGAGCCCTCCTTGTGTCCGGGTGCTACAACTATCGTTCGGTTATTCCGGCCCCTCGGAATATCGAATAAAAAATGCGGTGCTACGATATCGCCGGGGGGGTTCTTAAATGCTTCCTGGGGTTACAGGGCCCACGCGTGGCCGCCCGTGCAGACGATCCGCCCCCCCCCAGGGGCGGCCGCTCCTCCGTCTCCAGCCCGCTCGCCTCGAGCCGCGCCCGCAGCGCGAAGTCGGCGCCCTCGGGCTTCGGAGGCGGCCAAGGGGTCCGAAGTGGAGCGACTCTGCGCTGGTCGCGAGGACCCCAGACCCCCTCGGGTCATGAAAAAATCACGACGGTAGGTTTTTCGCCATTTTCGGCCTCCAGGGGCCCTCGCCGGGCCTCGGGACCGTCAAAAAACGACTCAGGATGAAGAACCGGTCCCGGGGAATGGGTCCAGACCTCTGGGGGTCGCGTCATGAAAAAATCATGACGTCGGGCTTCTGGGTCGCGAGAGCGCCCGTGACTGGCCCCCCGCCCCCCTCCCTCCTCGCCCCGTGGTCACGTCACGTCACGATCCGCGCCGGCGCAGTTTGGGGAGGACCTGTTCGTGTGCATGCCCAGACGGCGCCGGCGCGAATCGCGAGATGACTGGCCCCCTCCCCCCTCCCCCCCTTCCCCCCCCCTCAAGCGGTCACGCCAGTTATCACCAGGGGGTAGAAAGCGGTCTCCCAGATGGGGCCCAAGAACATCGATCCAGAGGGGTGATCGGCTCCAAATCGGTCCCATCGCCCCCTTCAGGGGTCCCCCTGGTGCCATTTTGTCGTCCCGGATCTGCTCTTGAGGACCCTGGGGCCTGGCAGCGGCTCCCGGAGGCAGGGATCCTTCCGATCGAACCTAAGACCTCGAACCTCTTGGCCCCCTTCTTTGATTAACTAAACAAGGACCACTAACACTTTGGGAGGGGACCTAAGTGAGGAGGGCAAAACAGTAGGGATAGGGGGTCTTTTCTGCGAGTGTATCAGACCAAACGATCATCCTTGACGCGAAGACGGGGACCTCAATGAGGCCACGTCTTCGTCGCGCTATTCGGCTTACTGGTTCTTTTGTGCTCACTGACTCTTGCTGGCCGGAGCCAGTGCTGGGCAACCCCTGACTACCCACCAGGCCAGACCAACGCCCGAAGTCGCCGCCGGGCCTGCCCATCTCGACTGGGGGGACTCTCTGGCTCATCGGGAAAGCACCACGGCACCCGTGCAAAACCCCTAACCTGAGATTCGGCAGCGTCTGGGGGCGCAAGCGGCTTGGCAAATCGTGGGCCTCAGACCCCCCCGCTGGCGCCCCGCCTCGGGGACGCCGTCCGCGAACTTCCGCGACACCACGTCGATGCCGCCGGCGCCTCTCGCCCGAGGGGCGCGGGCGCGCGGGGCGCTTCCGCCGACGGCGCGAACGCGCGCGCGCGGGGGCCCCGATGGGGTTCGCACGCGTGAGGCGCGAGGGGCGCGAGGGCGCGCGAAGGCGCGCCGCTGCGGGCGGCGCACGCCCTGCGCGCGCCCTGGGGCACCGCCGGGCGCAAGGCCCTCGCGTTCGCAGCGCGCTGGACGACGAGGTCGAGGGTCGAGGACCGTGCTGTGCTCGCTTATGATGGCATGTGTGTGCGCGCATCGCCATCTGTGTGTGCGTATGCGTGTGCGCATGCGCACGTGTATGTGTATATATACATATATATATATATATATATATATATATATATATATATATATATATATATATATATAATATATATATTATTATACACATACTGCGCGCACGCTTCTCGCGCGCTTTGGTTCTGGCCTGCCCTCCAGGAAGCCCACAGAGGCCCCAGGAGGCTCCCGAGGGGCCCCAAAAACTCTCCTAGGAAGCTACAACACAAACTAGGAAGTTAAAAAACAACCGGGTATTCCCTCCTCTTCCACCTTGTCCTCCTCCTCCGCCTGTTCCTCCTCCTCCCCATCACAGAACGGAGGAGGGACACTTTCCCGAGCGCGGCAAGCGCGCTTTCAACGCCTCCGACGTCCGACAGCGCCTCGCAGCCACCGTCCGATCCGCGAGGGCTGGCGCGCCCAGACGACAAGGTCGTCTCCAGGGTCGGCGGCATCGGCCGTAAGGCCTTCGCAATATATGTATATACACATACTGCGCGCCCGCTTCTCGCGCGCTTTGGTTCTGGCCTGCTCGATTGGTAGTCCCAACTGCTCGGCATCGGAGGACGTCTACTGTCGCACAGAGCGTGCCCGCAGGGAGCTTCGCCTGCGGCCCCAGAGACAGGGTTGGCGTACTGTCCCCCCGCCAAATGGCGGAACACCCCAGCAGTGGGATCGCGCCCCACAGGGAGCTCCACCTGCGACCACAGAGACGAGGCTCGCAGAATGGCAGGGCCCTCGAGCGGATCGTGCCCCACGGATAACTGAATTTGTGGCACCAACTCAACCCACTTCGGCACAACCTCTCATAAAGCTTGTGACCCGCAAACAACTCCACGGACGGCCCCAAAGACAAGACTCGCATCCCTCCCCCCCGCCTACTTTGGCACACCTCTCACACAGATCGTGGCACACAGGGATCTCCACCTGAGGCCCCAAAGGGAGGGTTCACACTGCGCCGCCCCACCTGGCCATTGGGGCACACCCCCCAAAGCGGATCGTGCCCACAATGAGCACCACTTAGATGCCCGAAGACAAAGATAGCACAACGCCCCTCCGCCCATGTCGGCACAACCGTCACGCGAATCATGCCCCAGAAGGAGCTTTACCTATGGCACCACTGGGCAGATTCGCATGGCGTCCCCCCGACCATGTCAGAACGTACCTCGCACAGGTCGTGCCTGGAGGAGGCCCACCTGCGGCCTCAGTGGGCTTGTTCGCGCGGGGACATCCGAATCATTCGGCGCACCTTTCACGCGGATCGCGCCCCACAAGGGGTTCAGCGCGCCCGTGCACGCGTGCTCCGCAGCAGCAATATTTCCGAATTGCCCCGCGGCGTGCAATGCATGAAGAGAGACCCGTGCTCTGTGCCACACCTGACTGCACAAGGATGGATCCATCGCCATGAATATGTTGTGATTTACGCATGTTTCGATACATTGCCCCTCTCCTGGGGCTCGAATCCTGTGTGTTTGCGTATGTTCCCATAGAAAGCCGCTCTATTGCGGCCGAATCCGTTTTTCTGTATATATATATATATATATATATATATATGTATATATATGTATAAGATATACATATGGATGCCCTTCGACTGACGGTCGAATCCTCAATATTTCACGTATGTGAATACATGTTGCCCCTCTCCTGGGGCTCGAAGCCTTCGTGTTTTGCATTATGACCGCTCCCCCAAAGTCGCACTGTTTGTTATGTGCCGTGCGAGCTGACAACGAGAATGTGCCTCGGGAAAGGTGTCGGCTCGACCTCCTTGGGCGGGAGACCTGGGTGTGAGAATATCGCCCCCCCTTGTCTTATAGATTTTCCAAGCGGGGGTGGTATCATGATGGATACACGTGGCATGTTGAAACATTGCGCATGGGGGTTACATGATTGTTGTCGTCGTCGTCCCACCCACGGCCAACCCCGCGACCCAGCCACGACCCACCCGCGACCCAACCCGCAACCAGTCCCTCACTCGTATCCGCAACTGCGGAGTGCCATGTAGAAGTGTATACGGTCGGGAAAATTTGCTTAGCGTGTCGCCACGGCGGCCCCGGCAAAACGCTATGCCCTGCAAGCGGATAGCGCGTCGCTCCGCTCCGCCGGGCGGGAAGCTCGCTAAGGCTCGGGACGCTGGGGACTGGGGAGGGGATAACCACTACCTGCAGATATCAATCCCCTGGGGATAAGAAAGTTCGGGGCCCAGGAGGGATAGTAAACGGTTTCCCGGAGATCGCAGTATGATGATGAAGACGATGACGCTGACGCTGACGCTGATGATGATGATGATGATGATGATGGTGGTGGTGGTGGTGGTGATGATGATGATGATGATCATCATCAAGATGATCCTGAACGTTCATGATAATCCTTAATCTCCATCGGAATTACCCTCCGAAATACATAAGATTCCTTCGGAAATCCTGAGGATTCCTGAGCACATCCATGGGATGCACGCGGAAATCCCTTAGAAAAAGCATCGGATTCCTTAGGAGATCCGAAGGAATCCAATGGAAAACCATTCGATTCCTTTAGAAATTAATAGGATTCCTTAGGATACCCAAAGGATTCCTGAGGAAATCCATGGGATTTCTTAGGAATCCATCGGGTTCCTTAAGGAATCGGCATGGATCCTTAGGTAATCCATTGGATTCCTCAGGATATCCATGAGATTTCTTAGGAAATCCATGAGATTCCTTAGGACATCCATAAGCTTCCGGAGGAAATCCATAGGATCCCTTATGATATCCATAGGATCCCTTAGGATATCCATCGAACATCGATACGAATCCTTAGGACATTCATAGGAAGAGGAGAAGGAGGAGGAGGAGGAGGAGGAGGAGCAAGCGTCCCTGGAGGGAGGATGGGACTGACTGACTGACTGAACCTGCATCGATGCCGAGTGCCGATCTCTCAACCTCACCTGCACCGCAGAGCCTGGTAGTAAAAATCAGGGGGCCTTGAGCACACCAGGGGGCCTTGAGCACACACGGGAACGCTAGGCCAGTCACCCCTGGTCAAGATGCCAACGTGGCACGGCAGGGATGACGAGGCACGGAGGTGCTAAATAAATCATTTGCGGCCCCTGGAGGAGGAGGAGGACGAGAAACCCCAGGACCAGCTTTCCAAAGAAGAGCTTGGATTCGGGACCTAGTTTTTTATTTGTGAAGCTCACTTCTTTTCTTCGTGATCAATGGCAAGATGTCCATGGCGGCTCGCAGGCGGCGATACAGCAAAAAAACACGTGATAAATGTTCGGGCCGAAGGAGGAGGAGGAAGAGGAGGAAGAGGAAGAGGACGCCTGAAGAAATGCAAAGAATTCCTGAAAAATCCTCACAATCTTTCTGCAATATATAAGACTCCGTCGGAAACTCACAAGATTCCGCAATACATCCATAGGATTCCGGAGGAAATCAATCGGAATCCTTAGGAATCATTGCTACCTCACATAAGAAGAAAGCAGCTAACTTTTCCCGCGAAACTTAAGTTCGGCCTGGCCACCTCTCTTCCCTGACCAAATCTGCATCGGCTGGGGAAAATCAACTCTCAGGGGTCAGGGGGGGCCCAATGATTATCCGGGGGTGCCGGTTAGCGTGTCGCGTTGAAGCCTGGTGGGCCAGAACCGGCGTAACGACATGCTATCCAGAAGTTCCCGACCGTATGTATCAATGGATATGGATGTGGATATGTACTAAAAAGATGCGTAGCACGCTCTGCTGGTTACCGCCAGAACCCTCTCGGATTCATAACTTCTCCAAGACTCTTGACTTTCTCAAAAAGGCGGTGCATGATGACCCAGCTGTCGCTGCAGCGTGAGAAGGGGCCCTGCTGACTCTTCGTCCCAGCACAACGGAGACAGAGGGTTTTGATGTTGTGCTCTCAGTCAGCGGTACCGTTGGCAAGCTGGCAAGCACTATGCTGCCCCCTTGGCCGCGCCTCGATACAACGGGAATGGAAGTGGCTGCCGCCAGACCTCCCGAATCTGGAAGTTCGGGAGCGCTCAGGGCCGTCGTCTCGAAGGATGCAGCAAAATTCCACTCTCTCCTGGCGCCATCGTGCTCGGATGGCTCCAAGCAGTATACACCTCCAGCGTCGATGATTCGACACAGGACTGCGATGGACAAGTGGCGGAGGAAACAGCGAGGACTGCACACGAAACTTAAAGGAAGCGATGGTCGATTCCCTGACGCCACTGCTCGACGAGGAGTAGGCCTGCGCGCATCAGGGGATGAGAATGTCACACTAAACTCATCCTTGCCATCCTCAGTTATCGATCCCCCCAACTCGTCGATGTTCCTCGCACGTAGCCGAAGGCCAAGTGTCTGTCCTCCCCGCGGATGAAACCAAAGGCCTAGGAGATCAAAAAGGAGGCCAGAGCGCCAGAGAACGTGTCCGTGCGGCGGGAGCGAGCTCAGGCAAGAGAACGAGAAGGAAACGCACAGGCAGGAAGATCAGGGACGTGGAGACTGGGAGGTAAGCAAAAAAACAACGAAATCTATGGGACACTAGTCCTCCTCCTCCTCGTCCTCCCCGTCGTCCTCCTCGATCATAATCCTCCTCCTCCTCCTCCTCCTCCTCCTCCTCCTCCTCGTCGATCCTGCTCGACCCTCCGCCGCGCAGGGCACGCGCGCGCGCCTGATGCGTGGCACTCCCCAGTGGGCGTGCCGGTGGCCTTGGCGCGCTTCTCGTCCGCATCCTCCTGCTGGAGGCACCGGCCATCGTCCGTACTCCGTCGAACGCAGTCATCGTCGTCGTCGCCGTCGCCGTCGTCGTCGTCGTCGTCGTCGTCGTCGTCGTCGTCGTCGTCGTCGTCGTCGTCCGTCGTCGACGCTGTCGTCGGGTGTCGTCGCCGTCATCCGCCGTAGACAACCGTCCGTCGTCGTCCGTCGCCTAATGTTCAATTGGTCGTTGCCGCCGCTGACATCGTCGTCGTCAACGTCGCTCGTCGTCGTCTTCCGTGTTCGTCGTCGTCCCTCGGTCATCATACATCGTCGTTGCCGTCGTCCGCCGTCCAGCATCCGTCATCCGCCGTCGACTGGTGTCCGACATCCATCGCAGCGAGCAACACGAGAGACTGCAATTCTCCCAAATGTTCGCCCTCTTGGGCGCCGTTTCTTCACTCCTGGGCCGAACAGCAGCACGCGATCCTCGGCGGAAAGCCCGTCCCTGGAGATGGGGTCGAGAGCTCTGGGTGCCTCGCCCGGTGCAAGCGGGTGGGCCAGGCGCCAACGAAAGCGGCTCATGACGGAACGCTGGCACCCAGGAGTGACACCAGCCTCGAGCTCATCCCTACCGCCAAGGTCGACAAGGCCAAGGCGAGGGCAACCCTAGGGATGCACCCTGCGAAACTCAGCGCGTCCTCAAGATCCCTCGCAGAAAGTGGGTGATGCCAATCACACGTATGCGTACGTGCTTGATGCTTGAAGCTTGTAGAATGTGTCGAGGGGTGGGTGGGGCCCTCGTGAAAGAACCATCAAGAAACATCATAACGTCGGGTGCCCAGGAAGAGGGAAGCCGGCGAGGGCCAGAGGGAGGAATTTTATGTGGAAGGAGGCGCCATCCGCCCGCAACTGCCCCTGAAAGGCAACAACAGCGATGACGACGACGACGTCAAGTACGAAGGTGACGACGACGACGACGGCGTCAAGTAATTACGATGGGTACGATGATGTCGCCGTGGGCGGCTGCGGTCCTTGACGTTCCCACGCGGGACCAAGGCGCAGACGCGGCGCTTGTTCGCCGGCACCGATGGGGGAGGGACCCCAGGGGGGAAGGAGGCTTAGATGCTCGCTCTGGAGACACTCCTGGAGCCACTCGCTCCACTCTCGCGTCGACGCTGCGTTGATCGTCCGCCGACTCGGGTCGATATCGAATCCAGCCAGGGTCGAAGCAGAATCGAACTAGAGTCAAACTGCGGTCGAACAGAACCGCCAGGCGGGCTCCAGGAAGGGCCCCCCAAAACCAGCGTCTGACGATGGGGCGGGCCCTCTCGCCGCCCCAGAACCGGCGGCGCGCCGAGGGAGGAGCGAAGGCGGCAGGGGTCCGGAGAGGGCGCGGAGACCTCCCGAGAAGGCCGGAGGGCTGCTGCGCCTCAGGAAGAGGCCCGCGCCCCCTCTCGCAGCGGCGTCTCCCGTCCCCGCTCCACCTGCCGCGCTGGCGCGCGGGGGCCGGCCGTTTCAGGAGGGGGGAAGGGGAGGAGGGAGGCCCTACCATCCTCTACCCAGCGGCCCAAGAGGGGGAGAGGATGGGGGAGGAGCGGACGGGCCGCTCACGATGTACCGATGCAGACGTGGCATCTTGTCAGTAGCGTCGTACTTGTACTACCCTAGCCTCTGGGACAGATTGTGCCGGCCATTGATGTTATTCCGACAACATGCTGTATAAGTGGCTTCATCTCTGTGGTTTCCGCTGACTTGTAGCTCTGCCTAGCGTAGTCTGCAGGGCGTCGATCTGCATTCCACGTACTTATTGCCGAGCTTCGCCTCGACAGTATCACCTGCGTTGATCGGTCGATTGGCTTCCTTGGGCACCCGGCTGCGGCGGTACCCGTCCGCCTCGTCGTTGCCGAAATTCCCAACAGCCATCTCCTATATCGCAACGTAGGTGTTCTGGATTCGGCCCTTGCTTATTTGACTCTTCACGTCTTGCCACTGCTGCTCCAAAAGCTGCTGGGGACGTGTTTGCGTGTGCTCCCCCTGCAAGCCGTAGTTCTTGAGCCAAAGCCTGCGGCTCCGACTGTAGAAGAAGTTGTGGACAGCCCACTCGAGCTCAGCAGGATGCGCTCGTTGCTCGGTCGGGGGCCTGGTTTCTCTGGGCGTGGCCCTCTTAGCCCAGCTTGTTGTCTTCGTTGTCCAAGTGGTATCCTTAGGAGCTCTGCTGGAAGTTCTCGTCGGTCAAGTCGTGGCCCTGGTAGCTCCGCTGGTGGCTCTCGTAGCTCAGGAGGTGGCCCTGGCAGCACCGCTGGTGAATCTCGTAGCTTATCCGGTGGCCCTCGTAGCTCCGCTGGTGGTTCTCGTAGCTCAGGTGGTTGCCCTGGTGTTTCTGCTGGTGGTTCTGCGAGCGGCTTTCGTCGCACAGGTGGTTGCCCTCGTCGTCCTTGCAGTTCAGCTCGTCGCCCTGGTAGCTCTGCGGGAGACACTCGTCGTTGATCTTGTGGCCCGCGTGGCGCAAATTGGGGCCCTCGTAGCTCCAAAGGTGGCCCTTGTAGCTAAGCTGGTGGCCATCAGAGTTTCGCACCTGAGCCTTGAAATTCGGCTCGTCGACCTAGTAATTCTACAAGAGGCTTCTACAATTCCACCTGTAGTCCGCGTAGTTCTGGCTGAGGTCCTGGTAGCTCAGCAGGTGGCCCTCGCAGCTCTCGCAGTTCAGCCGGCCGTCTTCGGATCGGAGCCCTGCATGTGATGCTCGAAGCCCTGCCCGTGGCCCTGGTAGCACAGCGCGTGGTCCCAGTAGCTCAGCGCGTGGTCCTCGTAGCTAAGGTGGTGGCTGTCCTTGCTCAGCAGGTAGTCCCTGCAGCTCAACTCGTCGTCCTGGTAGCTCTGCGGGAAAGTCAGATAGGTCTTCGTCTTCTTGTAGTCCGCGCAACCCAAGCTGTGGTATTAGATGCTCTGCAAATGGCCCCCGGTAACTCTCGAAGCTGGTGCCTCCAGTAGCTCCGCTGGTGGTTTTCATGGCTCAGCTGGTCGGCCTCGCAGCGTAGCACGCGGTCCTCGTGGTTCAGCTGGTCGTTCTTGCAATCCTGCGCGAGGCGTTCGTGACTCAGTTTGCGGCCGCCGTTGCTCAGTTCGTGGCTCTCGTGGCTCGGCACGTGGCTCTCGTAGCTCGGCAAGTGGGACCTGTGGTTTTGGTGGCTTCCGTAGCTGTGCTTGTGGTCCGTGGTCCTCGCAGCACCTTGTCTAGCTCTCGCGGTGCTGCTGCTGGCTTTCGTTGCTCGGCAGATGGGCCTCGAGGCTCTTCTACTGACTCTCCTAGCCGTGCGCGCGGTCCTCCTAGGTCAGCTTGTGGTCCCCGGCAGTCGGCTGGTGGCCCTGCTCGCTCCGTTGGTGGCGGTCGTCGCTCTGGTCGCCGCCCACGAAGCTCTAGCAGTGGCCCCAATAACTTTCTAGGTGGCCCTCGTCGCCGTGCTTCTGGCAGCTCGGCTCGCGGTCCTCGTAGATCCGCTCGTGCCTCTCGTGGCTCTGCCGGCGGGCCTCGCAGTTCGCTGTGCGCTGTGGCCCTCGTAGCTCGGCGCGTGGTCCCCGCAGGTCGTCTACGGTGGCCCCGGCAGCCCTGCTGGGCGGCGGAGGCGACTCCGAGGGCGCGCGTGTTCCTGTCATCCCCGACGTCCGAGTCGCAGTCGCCGGCAGCCCGATCGTGATGTTCCCCGTTCTGGATGTCACTGCACTCCGGGCGCTTGTCGTCGCTCTGCGGTGCGTGGTCCGGGGGATCGTGGGAGTGCTGGCCGCCATTGGAAAAAACTGTGGCAGCACTCGTTGTAGGCGGCGCGGCCGCAGGTCGCACTCGTCGTAGGCGGCGCGGCCGTCATCCACCAGTACCCCCACGACAACGTTCTGAGAAACCCTTGCGGGCTGTTCGGGCGGTTCTTTCCTGGTGACGGTTTTGGTGGTGCATCTGGCGTTGTGCTTGGGTTGCCTGTTACGCAACTCTTCCTCGAGCTGCATGTTGCGCAGCTAGTCCTCGGGTCGCATGTTACGCAGTTCGTCCTGTCTGGTAGTGGACACCATCATGGAAGCTGTCCTAGCGATGGTCACGGTGTCGTGGAAGTGTGGTTGTAGCCCGTGTCGGATGAGGTCGCCAGTATTCTTGAGAGCTGCATCTGTTCGCAGTCCTATGTGCGTGTGTAGTCTCGGCATGCGGGGAAATCTCGTAGCCGATGTTGTCCAGCTTGTAGTTCGTCAGTGTGTGGATGATCTTCCACTCGTACGCGCGCCGCCAAATGGCGGCGGCGCGCTCGGGCCGGCCCGCCAATGGCGGTGGTGTGGGGCGAACCCCCATCGCAATGGCCAGACTGGCCCTCCTTGAACCAACATGGCTTGAGCCAAGACTGCTACGAAACCCCGCACCCTCTGCTTATCTGCCTCGATTGAAAACGCAAGTCTGGCGCAGTCCTTTCGCCCAAACATGGGCCAATACGGGCCGAGCCAACTCGTGGCGTCTTCATCCTGGACGTTTTGACCACGGTATGTGGTGCCTTTCAAACACTGGCGTGCCAAGGCAACTTTGGGGAAATCAAAACGCACCGACGCCGACTCCCGGGACCTCCCCCGGGAAAATCAGATAGGTCTTCGTCTTCTTGTAGTCCGCGTAACTCAAGCTGTGGTATTAGGTGCTCTGCAAATGGCCCCCGGTAGCTCTCGAAGCTGGTGCCTCCAGTAGCTCCGCTGGTGGTTTTCATGGCTCAGCTGGTCGGCCTCGCAGCGCAGCACGCGGTCCTCGTGGTTCAGCTGGTCGTTCTTGCAATCCTGCGCGAGGCGTTCGTGACTCAGTTTGCGGCCGCCGTTGCTCAGTTCGTGGCTCTCGTGGCTCGGCACGTGGCTCTCGTAGCTCGGCAAGTGGGACCTGTGGTTTTGGTGGCTTCCGTAGCTGTGCTTGTGGTCCGTGGTCCTCGCAGCACCTGGTGTAGCTCTCGCGGTGCTGCTGATGGCTCTCGTTGCTCGGCAGATGGGCCTCGAGGCTCTTCTAGTGACTCTCGTAGCCGTGCGCGCGGTCCTCCCAGGTCATCCCCGGCAGTCGGCTGGTGGCCCTGCTCGCCCCGTTGGTGGCGGTCGTCGCTCTGGTCGCCGCCCACGAAGCTCAAGCAGTGGCCCCAATACCTCTCTCGGTGGCCCTCGTCGCCGTGCTTCTGGCAGCTCGGCTCGCGGTCCTCGTAGATCCGCTCGTGCCTCTCGTGGCTCTGCCAGGCGGGCCTCGCAGTTCGCTGTGCGCTGTGGCCCTCGTAGCTCGGCGCGTGCTCCCCCGCAGGTCGTCTACGGTGGCCCCGGCAGCCCTGCTGGGCGGCGGCAGCGACTCCGAGGGCGCGCTTGTGTTCTGTAATCCCCGACGTCCGAGGCGGAGTCGCCGGCAGCCCGATCGTGATGTTCCACGTTCTGGATGTCACCTGTCGTGAGCCGCCTGATCCGCGGCCCTGCGCGCGTTAGGTAATTTAGTCGCGTCCGCGGCCCGTTCGCGACCTTCCGCCGCGGGCGCTTCTGCCTGCGGCTGTAACAAAAAAAAATCCTGGATGTCACTGCACTCCGGGCGCTTGTCGTAGCTCTGCGGTCCGTGGTCTGGGGGATCGTGGGAGTGCTGGCCGCCATCGAACAAAACTGTGGCAGCACTCGTTGTGGGCGGCGCGGCCGCAGGTCGCACTCGTCGTAGGCGGCGCGGCCGTCATCCACCAGTACCCCCACGACGACGTTCTGAGAAACCCTTGCGGGCTGTTCGGGCGGTTCTTTCCTGGTGACGGTTTTGGTGGTGCATTTGGCGTTGTGCTTGGGTTGCCTGTTACGCAACTCTTCCTCGAGCTGCATGTTGCGCAGCTAGTCCTCGGGTTGCATGTTACGCAGCTCATCCTGTCTGGTAGTGGACACCATCATGGAAGCTGTCCTAGCGATGGTCACGGTGTCGTGGAAGTTTGGTTGTAGCCCGTGTCGGATGAGGTCGCCAGTATTCTTGAGAGCTGCATCTGTTCGCAATACTATGTGCGTGTATAGTCTCGGCATGCGGGGAAATCTCGTAGCCGATGTTGTCCGGCTTGTAGTTCGTCAGTGTGTGGATGATCTTCCGCTCGTACGCGCGCC